ATATATACACACACACACACATTATGCGAATCTGGAGTTCAAAACTGTATTTAACAGATATGATAAGCTGTCCTTGTGTCATACGATAACGAGGCGAATTATAAAAGGCGACGCTCTTTAATTCATTCAGTCATGTATTCAACTGACTAATTAGTGAGGTGTTAACAGAATATTTTTATATATACAATACGAAATTTGTCTTCTTTTTAAAAACCTTTCTTCGTTAAGAATAAAATAGGTGACAGGCAATGAAGGGTAAGCATTGATAAATTTTTATAATTAGAACTATAATAATAAAATCATTAAGATAATTTTATATACTGTGATGAGATTATTTAGATCATTAAATCCAAATTATATACAAATTAATATTTTATAAAAATTGCAATAATAATTAATTAAATTTTGATCAGGATATTTTATTATTTAATACAGGAATATACCTACTCACCATCGCCTTTTTGGCATCTTGGACCATAATCACCGCGAGTAAATTACCTATTATTTTTGAAATTGAAGACAAATGTCCAGTGTCAAACATTTCCCCACTACCCAAACTAATATTTCACGAAACGGATTGCACTAAATATTACGAGTGTAAAAATGGTCAGAAACAATTACTCTCTTGCAAAATTGGCCTGTACTTTAGTAAAAGATGGCTTGGTTGCGTCACACCGGAAATTTCAGAGTGTTCATTTTTGACCTCGACTCCAGTTTCAAATCTTGAATGTCCAGTACCAGATACTTGCCCGCCGAAATTAATACCTATCAAACAAGATTGTAGTAAGTATTACGAGTGCAAAGACGGTAAGAAGCATTTACGTTCTTGCGGAGCCGATCTATACTTTAGCCAAAAATGGCAAGGTTGCGTTGAACAGCAGGTTTCGGATTGTGAACCACCAAATGACATTGAACAGTGTCCAACGACGGATGCTTGTCCACCGAAATTAATACCTATCAAACAAGATTGCACTAAGTATTATGAGTGTAAAAACAGTAAGAAGGAACTACGTTTTTGCAAAGCCGGTTTATACTTTAGCCAATACTGGCAGGGTTGCGTCAGTCGGGAGCATTCGGATTGTCTCATAACAACTTTAATTCCGACAACTCAAACTCCGATCCCCACAACTCAGACTCCGATCCCGACAACTCAGACTCCGATCCTGACAACTCAGACTCCGATCCCGACGACTCAGACTCCGATCCCGACAACTCAGACTCCGATCCCGACAACTCAGACTCCGATCTCGACAACTTCGACTTCACCAGAATGTCCATATCCGGACTCTTGTCCGCCGAAATTAATACCTATCAAATCAGATTGCACTAAGTATTACGAATGCAAAAACAGTAAAAAGGAACTACGCTTTTGCAAAGCTGGTTTATACTTTAGCCAATACTGGCATGGTTGTGTCAGTCGAGAGAATTCGGATTGTTTCGAAATTCCGATATCTCCGATAATTCCACCTGGATGCATAAACGGCGATCTATTGGAACACGAATGTACATGTACTAAATATTATTTATGCATAGAGGGTTACAAAGCTCTATTTGAGTGTCCGCCTGGCAAGCACTTTGATATTTCAACGAAAACTTGTCAACCAGGTACAAATTGCCTTCAAGTAATGGCAAGTCCGATTTCGAATCCGACTTCGATTCCAATTACATCCCAGTGCATAGAAGGTGAATATATGCCTCATAAGTATGAGTGCAAGAAATATTACGAGTGCAAAGTCAATCGGAAGATCTTGCGTGAATGCAACGATGGAATGATCTTCAACGAGGCGTTACAAACATGCATTCTAGGTCAATGTTGAGATGATCCGATCGAAGGATAAATTTTTTGGAACATTATACGCAATCGTAAGTTATATCATTGACCATATAACCGATCTCGAATAATCACGACATACTTGTGCTCTGACTATTCAAATCAGAATAATTCTTGGGACATATAAATTACATACATATTATTACATTTTTATGTTATTAATATTTAAAATATATCAAGTGCTGTATTAATCATGTGTACAATATTAATTATATCTATAATAAAATTTCTAAAAAAATATAATTAAATTTTTATGTTATATTATTAAATATTACAGTATTTATTTTGTTTTCTTTTGTAAAAAATAATTATTCACAATATATTTACAGTATCATATATTTAAATAATTAAATAAATTTTTGTTAGAAAACATTTTAGATTAAATAAATTTGTCAATTAGTCAGTAGAAAATATAGAATATTTAATTTATAAAGAAAATAATATTCTACTAAGTAATAATAAAATAAAGATATTTATCCTTTAATCTATAAAATTATAGAAAAAAATTTTCAGATTGACAGGAATTTATAAACTCTCTCTCTTTCTCTCTCTCTCTCTCTTCAATATTCATGTGATATAATTCATATATTTTCGATTTGATAATTTTAATATTATTATGATTAAAATTTTTTTTATCCTTTTGATTTATTTCTTTCCTTTTTTTATATGTCGATTTTCTATCATTATTTTTTATTTTCTATTCTTTATTATAATAGATCTAATGATATGTTTTATTATAATAAAATATATATGTTATTGAGGCTTGTTAGTGTTGATTATACTGTTATTACATTGGTATTTCTGTTATTGCAGGAAAAGAAAGTACACGCGTTACTTGTAATGCTCTTACTTTTATCATTGCTTTGTTATAATAAATATATAATAAATATATAACACCATTACTTTATAACAACATTACTTTATAGTAATAATTTAATAATGATGTTGAATTTTTTATGATGGTAATGGTAACATCAGAGTTGGAAAGGTCACTCATTAGTAAAAAAAAACTTTTTATTTGTAAGTAATTACATATTTTATTTGTCACTAACATAAAATGTAATTCGTCGATACGCGTTACAAGTTACTTATTATTTTTTTCGCAGTAAATAACGCGTAATAATGACAAGTTACTTTTCAAAATGACTTTTTTAATCTTTAGCGCAATCTCAGTTTATAGTTATCATTATAATCATAAAAAATTACAACGTCATTATCAAATTATTATTATAAAAAAATAACGGTAAAAACTCTTCCATTCCCTGTTCTAATGCCTAGTGTCCTAGTGTCTCTCCCTAATATTGTTCCAGGTGAGGGCTACGGCGAGCCGTCCCTATGCATAAACAGCGATGTGAAGAAATATGATTACTGCAATGTACTACAGATGCAGCGAAGAAGAGCAGGCTGCTCGAATATTGTTAAAATGATTAACATTTTAGCGAGATTAAAAAAAATGTACATGAGTTCAATAGATATTGATTACGATAAAAATATCAAGTTCAAACCGGATAACTGCTCAGATTCTGATTCCTTAAAACGACGAAATTCCGTCTCAACTCACGAATGCGATTATAAATTATATTTAAGTGCGAAAATGGAAAGAAAAAAAATATACGATAGTTGAGGATACTATTTCGATATAATACTAATTTGAAACGCAATGTCATAGTAAATGTGGAAGATTGTAATGATTCCTAAGATACAGTTAAGAATTTAGTATATCATTTTATCTTTATTTACCGAATGTTAAACAAATATAAAATCTAAGTACTCCCGGGCAAAATTTTTGAACGTAGTCCTGCACATTACGCCGCATGGCAAAAGTTGAATTGATCGAGTTTATCTTTTTTCCTCAGGATGAAAGATGTATTTTCCGAAAAAGCAAGTGATTGTTTTACTATCGCGTCGCATTTTGCCACAGGATAAACTACTGCGTCCATTGTGCAGCAAAATTCAAATAAAAATAGCTGGAACGATTGGCTGTAGATTACATCGATTTGAAAGTATAAAGAAATTGAAAGTAAAGAAAAATAGAACCAAATTGCAACTTGCTAAAACTATACTGCTGTATTTATAGGAGTAGATAATTTTGTTAAGATATTTTAATATAAATCTGATAATCTAAGATTGTGTTGAAACTTTCTTATTATTTTACTCCATGATAGCATATACTACATTGGATACATGATATGTTCCCAATTAAATAAAAGACTTATGAAGAGATGAAATTATAAAATGTCTACAGGATCACCTTATGAACTGAAATTAAATTGAATTGTAAAATATCTCTATTTTGCAATTTCCTCACAATAATTAATATATTAACTTAAAAATTACTAAATAGCACAGTTTACCGCTAAATACGCGTGATGAGAGAGGATCGCCCAGGCGCCCATCATTGTAGGTTGCTAAACTTGCGAGAATTGTTTATTACAAGTGGCATATTCTTGAGCACATATGAATAATTTTCACATATGAAAGTGAGTTTCTCGATTGTGATTGGTCGATTGTATACAGAATTGCTATTTTCATATGCAATATTTGTTCAAGAATAAAGCTCCTTGGCAACAACGAAAGAAAATATCTCTCCACAATCTTCACTCTAGTGCAGTCAAAAGGAGTCCCTTATAAAGATGCGTTCCGAAATTCACTGCCAGTGCTGAAACTATGGTTGCAGCCGATTTGGACTAGAAACATAGGTATTCGCGTCCACCATTTTTATTCCTTTTCTCACTCCTTGCTCTGTCCCCATTCACTGAATTGTGACAGTCATTACAGGTTATGATTTATATTTGCTGCTTGAAATTTTGTAACTCTTTTCATTCCATTTTTGTTTTTAAAATCAGTTGAATATTTATCGTAATATTAGTGCAGAAGAGTGTCTGACGGTCAGGTTATTTCTAGATAAGATGCCAAATATGTATGTCAATTTAAGAAAAAGATTGAAATTTCTCATCTGCGAGAGAAAGTGTAGTGATGTTTATTCACAAATCATGTATTTATTTTACACTACAAGTTATTGACGAATATTATCCGCAGAAAATTTAATACTCGAATACCTTTTTCTGATCTATTGATACAGTTTTCCGCAACGTAACAAGGCATTTTATACATTTTTTTGCCTTCGTTAATATATAATATTTCAATTTTTTTATATACTTCTTTTTTCTTAGTCTCTTAGTCTCTTAGTCTTATGGTAAAATTTCGAAGTGCGGAAATACATAAATACGAAGCTAAGTTTCCAACAACTTAAAAGCTATAATTTATAACAACCATAATGATTATAACCTTCTCAGCTCAGCGGCAGAGTGGGAACAGAGCAAGAAATGAAAGGAGTAAAAATGGCGGATATGCGAATACTCACGTTTATAATGCCTTATTTGAATGCTTTCAGCGCTTTTCAGTATTTCTATTTTTATTTTATGTCTAATAAATGATAAAGGCTGTGATTAAAGTCTCGCTACAAATGCTTTGAAGTATTTAATGGATCAATTAGAAGAAAGAATTTTACAAACTGACCAGTTAAAAAATGCTTCAAAGTGTTCGCAGCATCGCGTTGACCGTACCCATAGACAGAATAATGATTACAAACACTTGCGCGTGAGCGTCTAAATCGATCACAGCTTATACAGTATACGTCACGTGGTTATAGATTTTCAGCACTAAATATCGGAACGCACTCTAGGCAGTCATATCATGCCGCACGTTTACATTTGATTGACGTCTTTGGCGGTAGGCCGGGCAGATTGCGGCGGCCGCAGCGGCAGATATGTATATATACACATAGAGTGGGTATAAAGAGAGTAACGCCAATGTCGCCATTTGATATCCTACATCCGGAGTATCTATAGGCCTGTTTTTTTTTACTGAACTTTTGCACCAGTTTATCTTTCTTGTTTTTCTCTTTAGCAAAAAAGAAGAGAAAAATAGAATTGGTGCACAAATTCAGCCAAAAAGAACAGGCCTTACATGAATAAGTCAAAAAGTGTGGTCAAAGATAGAGTTCCTCTATCTTTAAGAGTTGAGACTAAAGATCGGAAAGACATCATTGCTGGAATGTCGTTCACACGTACAGAGTACATTACACAAACTCACGTTTTCACTAACGCGTAAACAATACGTGTATCAAACTTACGTTTTCACAACATATTACACTGTCCCAGACACTGTCCCATTACACATGGCACTGACCAACACGCGGATATCCAGCAAACGAGAATGGATTGAAATAAATTGAAATGAATTCAGATTTTCAGAAATATTGATTCACGAATGTTAAAATGAATGCTTTTCAATCTTGAATGCATTTTTATTCATTTATAAGAATTACATGGAGCATATCTCTATGCCTTTCAATCTAAAAATAATATTAGCTTTTTCTGTGCACACAACATTGTGAATACTGTTCAATTCAAAATTTTGAATAGGAAATGTAGTTTTTCAATTCAATTGCATCCAATTGAATCTAATTGAACTCAATTGAATCCAATTAAATCCAAAACAAGTATTCGCTATTTAAAATGCATTCGGATAGAAAAAAATTTCAATTCTTTTCATCCATTCTCGTTTGCTAGAACTTCATGGTTTAATTCTTATTATAGGAATTCAAAAGTGGTCATCTGAATAAAGATGCATTTACATGCAAGCGTCAAGCAACGGAAGCAGCAATCAGCTGGGCAATACGGGTAGTGAAAATATTATTAATTATATATAGTTTAGCATCGATTACCTCAAAAATCAATAAAATTAGATTTATTTGACACGTTTTTGCATGAAATGAAAAAATTTGGCAGAAAAAAATATCGCTCTGCCCCAAATCGAGATATTAAGTTAAAATTTACTGCTGTTGAAATTAGGAAATCTGTCATAGAAATAAAATGAGGTCTATAATTATACTATTCCACATGAGTTTCGACTTTCCACGCGAAGCGATTCTCACTCCCCTCCTCACCCCCAATCTGCAAAAGGGCACACGACTTCTATAGCTGCGTTCGGCAATTTTGAGACATCAGAGTGCTCTTTTTCTACAGTGACATATGCTATAATATAAGAATACTCCGACGCCTCAGATTTGCATTACCGAACGCAGCTTATAATTGTATTGTTGTATTGTTGTTGTTGAGATTAGAAAATCTGTCATATAAACAGTGGATGTATAGTGATTATTGGTTTGGGGCGGCTATTTACCCACGTTTTTCACTAAGGATGTGTTCCGTTTCTTGCATGATGCGCATAGAA